TACTAGTATGGCCACCCCATACTACTTTTTTGAAGGAGCTGTTTGCTTGTAGGATTGTTTTCCATCCTTTCACTTTGAGTCTGTGTTTGCTGACTGTTGAGATGAGTTTCTTGTAGGAAGCAGAATGTTGGGTTCTGTCTCTGAATCCATTTTGCCACTCTGTGTTACTTAAATGGTGAATTTAGACCATTGACATTGAGAGAGATTATGGGGTTTTGTGTCATCTTTTTGTAAGGGTGTGTTGTTGTCGTAGGGTTTGTCTTGTCTTATAGTAGCCCCTTTAGCCCTTGTTTTGGTTTGGTTTTGAGTCTATGAAGCTCCTGAGCTGCTGTTTATCTAGAAAAATAGTGTAGCATTCCTTCAATTTTGAGTGAGAGTTTATCTCACTAGAGTATTCTTGGTGCAGTATTCATTTCAGTGAGTTTTTTCAGTATATCTCGCCACTGCCTTCGGGCTTGGAGGGTTTCCTCTGATAGATCTGCTGTGAATCTAAGGGGTGCTCCTTTGTATGTGATTTCCTTCTTTGCCCTTGCTGCTTGCAGTATTATGTCTCTATCGGTAGCATCAATCATTCTAACTATGATATGTCTTGGAGTGTTTTTGTTAGGGTCTCTTTTAGCTGGCACCCTTCAGACTCCTTGAATCTGAATGGCTGCATTGTCAAGCTCTGGGAATTTTTCAGCGATGATTTGTTCAACCATGGCTTTTTCATTGGGATTGTTTCCCAGAGCTTCTGGTAGTCCAATGGTTCTAATGTTGTTTCTCTTGGAATTGTCTCCTAGGACTCTGATTCTCTCTAGAGCTATTTTGAGGTCCCTTGTCACTGTTTGTTGTTGCCTGTTGACTTGGTGGAGCTGATCTTCCAGCTCACTGATTCTTTCCTCAGCTGTGGTCATTCTACTTTTGAGGGCACATACTGAGTTTTTCAGTTCATCTACGGAATCTTTAATTCGTGACATTTCTGTGTGTAGCTTTCCAATTTTTGCTCTCATTTCTTCCTGTATTTTTTCTATTGCCCGATCCATTGTTTCTTTCATATCCTCCTTCAATTTACTGAATATCTGTCTGACTGTTTCATTGAGTTCATTGAACATCTTCATGACTTCATATCTGAATTCTTTGTCAAAGAGGTCCCTTAGGTGAGCAGCACCTACAGAGGCTTCTGGACTCTTTTCATCGTCCTCCCCTTGTGGTGGGGATCTACATTGTTTTTTCATGTTGGTGTGTAGGTGTGGGGGACTAGATTTCTTGGTATGAGTTAACTACTTGCTGCCACGTGAGTGTTGGCCCACCAAAAATTAGGCCACGCCCACTTCTACAGAAGCCATGCCCACTTTTTTTTGGGGGGGGGTTGAGATTTTTTTTTTTAAGTTGTAGATTTACAATTTTTTGTGCTTTGGTTTCAATTATACAATGATCAGATACCCATCCCTCCACCAGTGCCCATTTTCCACCACCATGGATAATATCCCTCCCACCCCCCATCCCCCCATCCCCCCTGTCTCTGTGGCAGGGCAATCCCCTGTGTTCTCTCTCTCCATTTGGGTGTTGTGGTCTGCAAAAGAGGCATTGAGTGGCAAACATGTTCAGTCCATAGTCTACTTTCGACATGCATCTCCCCTCCTGGGAGGATCCTCCAAACATCCTTTATTTGGTGCTCCCTTCTCTATCTGAACTGCCCTTTCCTCTAGGATACCCGGCCATGCCCACTTTTAAAGCGGCCACACCCCAACAGGAAGCTGCTGTAGTTGGGGGCGGGGGGAGTAAAGACTGGGTGGGGGAGAAGACCAGCTCAGCTTGGGGAATGAAAAAGATGAGGCAAAGGCTCAGAGCTGCTTTGTCTCCCAAGGTCTGAGAGGACGCCTGGGGGGCTTGCAGGGAGAAATCCAAGTCCTGGGTTCGAGAAGCAGTGGATAAACTCGAGCTACCTATGTTTTGGGGTCCCAAAATGTCCAGAGCCAACTTACAACATCTGGGCCCCAACACACCCTGCCTGTGCCGACCTGGGGCCTCCAATGAGAGGGGCCTGGAGCAGCAGCAAACAGACTCAGTCCTTCCTCAACCCACAGGGAGACTCCGGGGGTCCCCTCGTATGCAAGAACGTGGCCCAGGGCATCGTCTCCTACGGTAAGAAAACTGGATTGCCACCGCAGATTTACACCAGAATCTCCAGTTTCATGCCCTGGATAAAGGACACCCTGAGAAAGATATAACCGCAGCTTCTGATGCCTTCTCTGAACTCCAGCATCACCTGCGCTGGGGCTCCCACTCAATAAACGTCATTAGCAATGTGAAACTGTGCCTCATGCGTGACACTCATTTACAGACATAGTTTTGTTGTTAGAAGACCAAAGGGGTCCCACAGTCCCTGCCCATGCATCACTGTCTCCTCTGTTCCTCCACCAGAACAGACTGTCCCACAAGGAGGAAGCATGGACTCTAGCCTACTGCTCAGGGGGAACTCTCTGCCTCTCGGTTGTTTTCAAGAAAAGAAGCTGCTCAGCACAGGGTCATATGCTATTCTTAACAAGCAATACAAAAGAGAGTATGAGGGAGGGGCCGGAGTGATAACACAGCAGGCATGGCATTTGCCTTGCATGCAGCCAACCCGGGTTCAACTTCCAGCATCCCATATGGTCCCCCAAGCACCACCAGGAGTAATTCCTGAGTTCAGAGCCAGGAGTAACACCTGAGCATTGCTGAGTGTGACCCCCCAAAAAAAGAAAAAAATAGAGAATATGGGGGAGATTTTCTGCCATAGAGGCAGGAGTAGGGGTGGATGGGGGGTAGTGGGGTTCTTGGTAGTAGAAGATGTGCACTGGTGGAAGGTTGGTGATCAATCATTGTACGACAGAAACTCAAACAGGAAAACTTTATGACTGTATCTCACAGTGATTAATAATAATAATAATAAAATAAACTTAACATTCTGAATTTTTAAAAAAAGAAGCTGGCCCCCAACGCTGCTCCGCCAGTCTCCTCCCCAACCCAGGTCAGTCAGCCCACCAGCATCCAAATCCAGGACTTGGCTTTCGCCCTGCAAAGCCCCAGGCGTCCTCTCAGACCCTGGGACAAGAGCAGACCTGAGCCTCTTCCTCTTCGCCCCCAACGCTGCTGCTCCAACAGCCTCCTCCCAAACCCAGTGAGTTGACAGACTGGCAACTGTGGTCAAGAGCTTTCTAATGTAATAAAGATGACTTCTTACCACCTGGAGTCCTACATCTCCTTAAAGAAACAGTTACTATCCTTATTAATTTGGGGGCAAATTAATAAGATAAGTATGACATCCCTTTGAATTTTTCTTTAAAATAATAAGTAGTTCATCATTAATGGTTCATAATTTTGTGGACTAATAAAATATTTCATATTTATGAACTAAAAAAATAAATAAATAAAAAAGAAGCTGTTCAGGTCCCCTGAGGCCTGTCACTCCTGACCCCTCTGCCTATCCCTCTGGATAAAACTCCTCTCTAAGCTTAGCCTCCTGCTGGCCCCTCAGGCTCAGTCTCTGAGGTGGAAGGTCCCTCTCTGCAGTGGGGCTGGACTCAGGAGTCTCCATCTCCATCCAGAACCAGCACAGATGCTCTGTGCCCCAGCGCTGTAGAAGGGACAGGGGTTTTGCACTCCCCAACCAGCTGCAAACCCTACTCACTGAGCAAATCACAAAGGTACATAGTTCATAAGAAAATTGCATCTGATAAAGACATTTGTACTAGAATAATGTAGAGTGACACTTTATTTTCCTCAGAAAAATAATGTAAAGTACTGTGAGTCTAAAGCTTGAAACTTGACTCAGCAGCATTAATCAGTCAGGCATAGTGGACAAAGTATAGAGGATAAAAGAACAACGCTTGGTGGTGGCGCTCATAGTTCCTTACCTCACAAGGGTCAGGAGTTTAGAAAACAGAAATTTAAAAAAAAAACAGAAATTCCTTCAGGAGACGCCATCCAACCCTGTGGATTGGATGGTTCCAAACTCAACCAACGAAAGAGCTGAAGAGAGAGATGCAACTTTAGGTCCAGAGTGGTTTACTAATTTTCCAATAAATGTCAAGTATTGAAATTTTGATGAAAACATTGACATGAAAGATCATTTCTGTCTCTTTCAACACATTTTTACCCTTTTATCATTTATTATTGGGGATAGAGTGTTTATAAAATTTTCCAAAATATATCTTTGAATTAAGTCATATGGTCAGAGAGCTACATATTGTAACTGGAGTGCATTTGCTGAATGGTGCTTTGGCATGTGAGCAGGTAAAATTCAATTGGTCAAACCTGGGGGTATTACTAGCATCAACTGTACATCTATTTCTTAATGAGAAGTGATGGGGGGGTGTTTGGATGGGGGATGTTTGTTTCTCATGGTTGCATCCAAGGAATCTAACACATTCACTTTAATACACTTCTGAGAATTTGTGAGAAAAGGAGTCACGATAGTGCTTGAGTTGTTGTCCAGGTTGAGTCCCTGGAGCCACTCTCTCTCATACCGGCTTCATCCTTCCCACGGCCCTTCCATTCTGCACTCCGGTCACTGAGGCTTCTACCTCCTCCACCAGCTTTCAAAGGGAAGAAAAATGGTTCAGTATGTTTGATCTGTTTGATCTTAGCACAGGGAAGAGCCTAAACACATCTGCCAAAGACATATCCTGATATACTTAGCAGCATGAACATGAAAGAGTGAAGGTGCTGTTCTGGGGCTGCACTAGACAATTATGCATGCCACAGTCCCCACCTCACACTTAGCTTGGTTTCTGTTCTGGGCTGCAATAAATGGTCAACCCTAGATTTCAACTGTGACCACAAGTATAGTGATCACATGATTCTCACCCAGCAACCAGAAAACGTCATCAGCAGAGGCATAGTATGAGGGAGGATCCTTTTGTAGAAAATCTTCTCACAGGACACACGCCAAACCAGAAAGAAACTTGGACCCCAGAGGTCTGCTGATGCCCTTCTTCTTCTCACAGCCAATAGAGGTCCAGAGGAGCCACCACAGCTGCCACTACAGAGCCTTCTTGGGACAATGCTCCTGCTCTTTGTCCTGCTGAGCACTGCACTGTCTCCCAGAACTGAGGCAGGTGAGTGACCCTCCCACACTCTGAGCCTGATTCCTGGTTAATGCGCTGACCTCACCTGAACCCTTTTCTTACTCTCTGACTAGAAAGAGGTTTCTACTTGAACATCACAGAAACAGAAACTGTGGGAAGTACTCAAGGGAACAGTTGTTCAGGAGCTCCCGGTCCGTGGGGCAGATAGAGTGCCTGTCAGTTGGTGTGGAAATGGATTCACAGGCTGAGCTGCTGCTCTTCCCTTGGGGGGACAAGAAAAGGAAGAAGAAACTCCCCCCACAAAACCTACCAATAGTGGGTCACGCAGCAGCCCTGAGCCTTCAGTGAAGTCAGCAGGGGTACTGAGGGGGTGCACGCTCACAGCTGACATTTCTTAGGGGAGATCATCGGGGGACACGAGGCCAAGCCCCACTCCAGGCCCTACATGGCATATCTGCAGTATTTTCATGAAGAATCTTATAAACGAGCCCGATGTGGTGGTTTCCTGATCCAAAAGAACGTGGTGATGACAGCCGCTCACTGTAATGGCAGGTGAGGAGAGACACAGCCACAACGCACTCCCCAGGAGACCATGACTGGGGACCCCTACATCTCTTCAGATACTCCCAAGCCCAAAATAAGTGAGCCAGGAGAGTCCTCATGGGGGAGGAGGGCAGGTTCCTGGGGAGAGGGATGGGCTGGTTCAAAGGCTGTGGGAATCCTCCTCTGCCTAAAAGGTGTCTGCACATTACCACCCACAGACACACGATGCCACTTCACCTCCCTTCCTGGGGCACTCCCCACTGGGAACCATGGAGCAGGGACCTTTAGCTCCAGAAAACTCCCTCAGCTATGAGAAGCATAAGACTCAGTTTATTTCCAGCCTGTCAGAGTCCCTAGAGCTGCCCTTACCTACACACCTTTTGCCACCTGCCCTTGAGGGCATCTGGGTTCTAACTCTGAGTTTCCACCTCCCTCTGGGTTTTCTCTGCAGCATGATCAATGTGACCCTGGGCGCCCACAACATCCTACAGAAGGAGGAGAGTCAGCAGGTGATCCCCGTAGGCAAAGCCATCCCTCACCCCAACTACGATAAAAAATACTACTCTAATGACATCATGTTGCTGAAGGTGAGGAAGCAGATGCTCTACTCACTAGGGTTCATTCCCTTCTTCTTCTCTGCCCCCATTCTGGTTCCTGAACTGTCCCCAGGCCTCTGTGGGAAAGGAAGACACAACACCCCATATGGGTGCCCAGGTTAGGGGCATGGACTGAACAGGACCCTCTCTATATTGCCACAGCTCAAGAGTAATGCCAAAATCACTAAGGACGTGAAGCCCCTCAAACTCCCTCAGTCCAGGAACAAGCTGCGGCCAGGCGAGATGTGCAGTGCCGCTGGCTGGGGGAAGATGTGGCCGAACGGAATGTTTGCTGAGAAGCTGCAGGAGGTGGAGCTGGAGGTGCAGGCAGATAAGGAGTGTGAATCTACGTTTAAACGCTACTACAAACCTGACACTCAGCTGTGTGTGGGGGATCCCAAGACAGAAAATGCCACATTTAAGGTGAGACTGGATAATGCAGAGCTTGACCTTGGGGCCAGGATGATTAGGAGGTGCAGAGGACCAGTACCAAATTGTGCGGGGTCCCCTAACTTTCCTGTCAGGGGTGTTTCCCACTGAGGGGGGACCTACTGAAGAGGAATTGGGTCTCTGCCAGCCTCCGAATCCGTGGGGGCAGCACTTGGGGCCCTCCATGAAGGACCCCAAACTCTGGGCACAGGCTGGGGTGTCCCTAGCACCCATTAAGGACACTCAGATCTGGCTTCAGAAGTGTCTGATGAACCCTCTGAGAGCTATCCATAGTCTGTTCTTAGGCCCAGTAGGACACAACTATGTCCCTGTGGGCATGGAACAGCTATCTGTGTTTTGGGGTCCCGAAATGTCCAGAGCCAACTCACAACATCTGGGCCCCAACATGCCCTGCCTCTGTCCACCTGGGGCTCATAAGTCTCCCTCAACTAAGAGGGGCCTGGGGCAGCAGCAAACAAGCTCAGTCCTTTCTCAACCCACAGGGAGACTCCGGGGGTCCCCTCGTGTGCAAGAACGTGGCCCAGGGCATCGTCTCCTATGGATGGGGGAATGGATCTTCACCCCGGGTTTACACCAGAATCTCCAGTTTCATGCCCTGGATAAAGGACACCCTGAGAAAGATGTAACTGTAGCTTCTGATGCCTCCTCTGCACTCCAGCATCACTTGTGGTGGGACTCCCACTCAATAAACGTCATTAGCAATGTGAAACTGTGGCTCATGAGTGACCCTCATTCACAGACATAGCTCTGTTGTTAGGAGACCAGAGGGGTCCCACAGTCCCTGCCCACCCATCTCTGGCTCCTCTGTCCCTCTGCCAGGACAGCCTGACCCACGAAGAGGAAGCATGGACTCCAGCCTGTAGCTCAGGGGGGAGACCTCTCTGCCTCCCCTGTTGTTTGCAAAAAAAGAAGCTGCTCGGGTTTCCTGGGCCCTGTCACTCCTGACCCCTCTGCCTGTCCCTCTGGATAAAACTCCTCTCTAGGCTTAGCCTCCTGCTGGCCCCTCAGGCTCAGTCTCTGAGGTGGAAGGTCCCTCTCTGCAGTGGGGCTGGACTCAGGAGTCTCCATCTCCATCCAGCACCAGCACAGATACTTTGTGTCCCCAGCGCTGCAGGAGGGACGGGGCTTTTGCACTCCCCAACCAGCTGCAAACCCTACTCACTGAGCAAGTCACAAAGGTACATAGTTCATAAGAAAATTGCATCTGATTAGGATATTTGTACTAGAGTAATGTAGAGTGCTACTTTATTTTCCTCAGAGAAATAATGTAAAGTACTGTGAGTCTAAAGCTTGAAACTTGACTCAGCAGCATTAATCAGTCAGGCATAGTGGACAAAGTATAGAGGATGAAAGAAGGACCCCCTCCCCTTAGTAATGGTGGTGCTCTTTTCCTCATCTCATGAGGGTCAGGAATTTAGGAAACACAATTTCCTTTAGGAAACACCCTCCTAGTTTGTTCCACGTAGATCGAATGGTTTTAAGCTCAACCAATAAGAAGCTGAATCAGAGGGCATGACTTTAGGTCCAGAGTGGTTTACTGATCTTCCAATATATGTCCAATATTGGGATTCTGATGAAAATATTGACCTGACAGATTATTTCTGTCTCTCTCTTTCAACACATTTACTTTAATATAGTTGTTAGAATTTGTGGGAAAGGGAGTCACAGTAGTGCTTGAGTTGCTGTCCAGGTTGAGTTCATGGGGCCACTCTCATATTTGCTGCACTGACCCCGCCCCATTCTGCACTCTGGTTACTGAGGTTTTTACCTCTCCTACCAGCTGTCAAAGGGATGGAAATATCTTCAGTGTGTTTCAGAGAAGAGCCTAAACACATCTGCTAAAGACACTGCCTGATGCACTTGGCAGCATGAAGGTGAAAGGGTGAAGGTTCTGTTCTGGGGCTGCACTAGATAATAATGCATGTCCCCACCTCACACTTACCTGGTTTTTTTTTTTGGCTTTTTGGGTCACACCCAGCAATGCACAGGGGTTACTCCTGGCTCATGCACTCAGGAATTACTCCTGGCAGTGCTCAGGGGACCATATGGGATGCTGGGAATCGAACCCGGGTTGGCCGCGTGCAAGGCAAACGCCCTACCCGCTGTGATATCACTCCAGCCCCTTACCTGGGTTTTTATTCTGCACTGGAACAAATGGTCTGCCCTGAGTCATCAGCTGTGACCACAGCTATAGTGAGCACATGATTCTCACACAGCAACCAGAAAATGACATCAGCAGAGGGGCACAGGAGGGGGGATAGGGTCCTTCGGGGAAAATCTTCTAGCATGAAGCACCACAAACCAGAAAGGAAGTGGGACCACCCCCCTACCCCCCGCCCCCCCAGAGTTCAGCTACGTGACTTTCCTCTACTCGCAACCAACAAAGATCACAGAGGAGCCCCAGCAGCTGCTACCTAAAGAGCCTTCTAGGATGATGCTCCTGCTCTTTGTCCTGCTGAGTATCTCTCTGCCCCCCAGGGCTGAGGCAGGTGAGTGACCCTCCCACCCTCTGAGCCTTATCCTCTCACTGGGAATGCTACTGCCCTCGGAACCTTTCTATCCACTGTCTACACTAACCTGAACCCACATTGCAGCCCACATTAGACCCTTGAGCTGATTCTGGGGCGGGGGGGGGGGGGGAGTTACAAGAAACAGTGGGAGGGTGATCTGAGCAGAGTCATGGGTGTGACCCTCCCAGCATCACCTCTGCCTCTGGAACAGACCGCAGGGTGCCTGCGGTTGGGGGGTATACCAGAGGGAAAGAAATACTGACTCTTGCAGCGAAGGACAACTGCTCATGTGGGGGTAGAAGAGACCACCTTTCAGTAATGTCAAACAGTGGGTGGCATTACAGTCCCCACAGCTTCTGCCCGACTCCCTCCCAAGGCCCCTTAGTCCCTCTCTCTTTGCAGGCATTCAGCAGATCCTTCCTCCCCAGTCACTGTCTGACAGACCCAACCCTCTCAGCCTCCTGATTCCCACCCGCACTGGCCCCTCCAACCCTCCTCACAGCCCCACTGACAGAACACAAACTGTGGGTTGCCCTGGTTAATGCCCTGACGTAACTCGACCCCTGATCTTACTCTCTGACTAGAAAGAGGTTCCTGCTGGACATCACAGAAACAGGGACTGTGGGAATTACTCAGGGGAATAGTTGTCAGGAACCCCTGGTCCCTGAGACAGACACGCTGGCTGCCATTTGGTGTGGATATGGACTCGTGAGCTAAGCTGCTGCTCTTGTCTTTGGGGGACGGGAACATGAAGCCCCCCACACATACCAACATCAGGTCACGCAGCAGCCCTGAGCCTTCAGTGAAGTCATCAGGGGCATTGAGGGGGCGCATGCTCACGGCTGACATTCCCCAGGGGAGATCATCGGGGGACACGAGGCCAAGCCCCACTCTAGACCCTACATGGTGTATCTGAAGGTCTATGATAGAGAACCATATTCTCCAAGAAGGTGTGGTGGGTTCCTGATCCGAAAGGACGTGGTGTTGACGGCTGCTCACTGTCATGGCAGGTGAGGAGAGACATAGCCACAGCCACACTCTCCTGAGGGCCCTGGGTGGGGAGCCCTGCATCTGCCCAGAGATCCCCTCAGCTCCAGGAACAGCGAGTCAGTAGAGTCCTCCTGTCAGGGAGATAGGCAGGTTCCTGGGGACAGGGACAAGCAATAAGAAGACTGTAGGAATCTTCGCTTACCTATAAGGTGGCCACACATTAGCATCCACAGACAAACAATGCTACTTCATGTGCTTTCCTGGATCAATCACTACTGGGAACCACAAGGCAGAGAAATTTTGCTCCAGAAAACTCCCTCAACTGTGAGAAGCACAATTGCCAGTTCATTCCCAGCCTGGCAGAGTCTCTGGATTTTACCCTTACCTGCTCCCCACCTGCTACCTGCCCTTCAGAGCAACTGGGTTCTTCCCCGAGATTCCACCTCCTTCTGGGTTCTCTCTGCAGCACAATCAATGTGACCCTGGGCGCCCACAACATCCAACATAAGGAGGAGAGCCAGCAGGCGATCCTCATAAAGAAAGCCATCCCTCACCCCAACTATGATTCTAGAATCTTCTCCAACGACATCATGTTGCTAAAGGTAGGGAAGCAGATGCTCTGCTCGCCTGGGTCCACTCAGACCTGCTTCCACCCTGCCCCCACATGGTCCCCAACCAGTTCCTCGAACTCCGTGGGCGTCTAGCCAGAGCTCATGGGCTAGGCGGGTCCCTCTCTTGCCCCCTCATAGTTGGTGAGTAAGGCCAAGATGACTAAGAACGTAAAGACCCTCAGCCTGCCTGGACGAAGGAGTCGGCTGCGGTCAGGCCGGGTGTGCAGTGCGGCTGGCTGGGGGCAGATGGCGCCGAGGAGCAAGTTTCCTGACAAGCTGCAGGAGGTGCTGCTGAAGGTGTTGGCTGATGCGGAGTGTGAGTCTCTCTTTGGCTACTACAACAAAACCATCCAGATCTGCGCTGGGGACCCCAAGGCGGAAAAGACTACCTTTAAGGTGAGGGGCAATTGCCGAGCTTGAGCTTGGGAACAGGCTGATTGGGGAGAAGCGGAGACTCAGTACAAGGGAGCGGCGACCCCTTACCCTCAAGCCTTGGGTGTTTCCCGCTGGGGGAAAGGGAGCACCTACTGGGGAGGAGCTGGGCCTCTGCGAGCCTCCAGAGCTATGGGGACAGCACACGGGATCTCCCAGGAAGAGTTCCACATTCTGCACACAGGCCCTAAGGACATCAGACCTGGTCCCACCAATGCCTGATGCCTGACTGGAGTGTCACCCTCTGCCTTCCCCCAGGCCTAATAAGACATGAGCCACTTCCTGGAAAGGGGGAACAGTCCCCTGGGGTGAAGGACCCAAAACTATTCACGGTCAGGCCCTAGTACCTGGGCCCCCGCATGTCTCACCTCTGCCCACTGAGCTCCCTCCTCTGAGAGATGTCTGGAACAGGAGGAGACAGGCCCACCCAGTCCTTCCCTCACATCCACAGGGAGATTCCGGAGGTCCCCTCGTGTGTGACAACGTGGCTCAGGGCATCGTGGCCTATGGAAAGAACAATGGATCACCACCCCAGGTCTTTACCAGAATCTCCAGCTTCCTGCCATGGATAAAGAGAACCCTGAGGAAGATGTAACTGCAATTTCTGATGTCCCTTCTGAGGTCCAGCACTGCCCAGGGAGAGACACACACCCCCCCTCCCCCCGCTCAATAAAGGTCGTTAGCAACATGAAACTGTGGCTCATGTATGATCCTCATATATGAGAATGAGGTACAGGGACAGCTGTGTGCTTAGGGGGACAGAGCTGAGTGCCCGCACACCCACCTCTATCTCCTCTGCCAGACTGACCCCACAGAAGGAAGCACGGACTCTGGCTTGAGCCTCAGGGGAGTCCCTCTCCTCCCCTGTTGTCTGGCAGAGAAGAAAAAACTCACGCCCTTGATCCTAGGCCCCAAACAGACTCAGCCTGGGCTAAACTCAACTCCCCCCCAAACACACACACACACACACACACACACACACACACACACACATACATGCACGAGCGCACACATGCACACACATACATGCACGCACACACACAAACTTACAATGGAGGTGGGAGGACATTTCCCTTCACACTCAGGGAGGCAGCAGTCTTGGGGTCCGAATGGATAGCTCACAATAGCCCCTGTTGATCCCTCTGAGAGCTGAGCTACTCCCAGGCCCTTCCCTGCCCCTCTGAGCTCAGGCCCAGCTCAGCCTCCAATCTCCAGGCTGCTTCCCCAACCTGCCCCCAGACACCTCTCAGTCCCTCTCCTATCTCTCTCTCCTCACTGCCCTGAGCTGCTCCTTCTCTGTCCTGCCCACAGGGATCCCCAGAGCTCCGTGTGGCACCAGCAGGGCCTCTTCCACTGAGAAGGGGCTCATCCCAGGCCCCAGGGGCTCACAGGAACTCTCTGTGCTGGCCCAGTAGGTCTCCACAGAGACTGCTTAGGGGAAATGAGTGATTAACAGGTAGAGGAAACAGAGCACAGAGAAGTTAAAGACAAATACCAAGGACATAGGAGTGCTTCAGGAGCACTGTGAATGGTGTAACCAAAAGCACCTAAGCTCCCCATGGCCAGGGAGAAACGACAAACTAATGTTATCCTAAACACACACACACACACACACACACACACACACACACACACACACACACAAACACATCATCCAAAAAAGGAAAAAGAAATGGTGAGGATGAAAGAAACAGGGATTAGCCCAAACTATTGGGGTGTAGCCAGCCCTCCTTCTTCTCAGACAAGTCAGACTGCAGCTCACCTGACCTGGCAACCCCCTCCCCAAGGCCCATCTAGTGCCCCAACACAAATCACACAGTCACTGCCACCCACTGTCAGTTTCTCCAGGGCAGGAGTCAGCCTGTTGGAGCCCTGGGCCTAGCTTCCACACACAGTTTCTTCAGAATGGAAAAAAAACAAGGGCTGAGAAACAAAGACACCCTTGGGTCCCTCACAAGGGGCTTCTGGGGCTCCAGCCTTTTGCTGCCCCAGCCACAGCCTCACTTTCATTTCTTACTCAGGCTTTCGCCTTGTGTTGGCAGTGGGCAAGTACATGTGGTAGCACATTCTGAGAACTTCGACCAACACCTCCAGAGGTGACACCCAGCAAAGCTAGTGGAGGCTCTTGGAGGTGGTCTCTGAGGGCTCTGAACCAGCCTCCTCACTTCCGCTCTGAGCACTTGGTGGCTGGAAGGAAGAAGCCCCAAAACTCTGGCCTGTGCAGACCTCCAGAGAAGATGCAGATGCTCCTACTCTGCTGGGTCTTTCTTCTGTCCCCAGGGGCAGGGACAGGTGAGTGACCGTCATCTCCTTTGCAGCAGCTCATGCCCATCTCATTGAAGCTCTTGTAGCTAATCCTTCTGCCCTATAACAGTCAAATAGTGTTCTCAGTTTAAGCCCAGGAACTTTCTAGACTACAGTTTCCATCCCCAACCTGGGCCAACAAGTCTCAGGCCATGTAGACCCTCAGCAAGCACAGCTACTGAAAAGGGGGGGGTGAACCAGTGAGGGCTTCTCTTGATACCCTAGAAAGGGTGCTCTTTGTGGAAAGATGTTGCGGAGAAGACGTGGAGCTACAGAGACTGAGTATTCAGGTCCTTCGCTGCTGCGCAAGAGAGGGCAGTTCTGATGGGTGGCAGCAGCGAGACTGTCTGGGACCCCACATAAGAACCAGTCCCACAGATATAGAACAATTGCACTCATTTGTGGAATATAAAGTAAAACAGAATGGGAGACTAATACCCAAGAACAGTAGAGATAAGTACCAGGAGGATTAGTCCACAGCTTAGAAGTCGGCCTCGCATGCTGGGGGAAAAATTAGCTCAGATAGAGAAGGGACCACCAAGTAAAGGGTGCTAGGAGGGCCCACTCGGGATGGGAGGTGTGGGCTGAAAGTAGACCTTAGACTGAACATGATGGCCACTTAATACCTCTACTGCAAACCACAATACCCAAAAAGAGAGAGAGAGCAAAAGGGAATGCTCTGCCACAGAGGTGGGTGGGCTGGAGGGGATGGGACGGGGGGTGGTGGGAGGGATACTGGGACCATTGATGGTGGAAAATGGGCACTGGTGGAGGGATGGGTACTTGACCATTGTATGACTGAAACGCAAGCACGAAAGTTTGTAAGTCTGTAAATGTACCTCACGGTGATTCACTAATAAAAATTTTTTTTTAATTTTAAAAAACAGTCCTGGGGCTAGAGTGATAGTACAGCGGATAGGGCATTTGCCTTGCATGTGGCCAACCCAGATTCAATTCCCAGCATCCCATATGGTCCTCTGAACACCGCCAGGAGTATCCTGAGTACAGAGCCAGGAGTAACCCCTGTGCATCGCCGGGTGTGACCCAAAAAGAAAATAAAAATAACCAGTCCTAAGTGCTGGAGAGATAGTAGAGGGGTCAGGGTCCCTGCCTTGTCCATAACACCACATGTTACCCCACTGGGTATGGCCCCAAGCCCCATCCCACCCCTCAAAACAACCAGTGTTACTGGTTAGCAACAATCTTCCTCCGACCCAGAGGCAACCCATCATGTGAGTGATCTCAGGAGAGGCTGGACAACCACACCTCAAGCTGCCTTGTCACCTGGCCCTGCCCTGTGCCGCCCACTTCCGGTCTCACAGCCCTACATTCCCTGCCCGCCCTTCTATGAGCCCTCACATACCCCAGTGCCTTTAATCCCACCCAGTGCTCCCCCATCTGAGCCCAAATTTCATTCACTGCTACAGGTCACACACACACACACACACACACACACACACACACTCACACACACACATAAAATTAAAAGGTAATAATAAAAGCTTCCTGAGAATCTAGAATGTTCTGGATCTGAGGACATACAGCTATACCAGTGGGTCAAGGGAAAGGATCATGGGACAAGCGCAGGAACTCGGGAGATTAGCAAGTCTCTGAGAGAGAAGGCATGTGGGAGGCACATCCTGAAGACAGTCCTTCTGTCCTGCAAACGGTTGAATGAGTTGGGAGAGCCAGCCTGCATCTCATATCACCTTCTCAGGGCAGCATTCTGAGGCGCCCTACAGGCCCTCTGCCCCCAGTGGAAGCAGGAAAGATTCCCCCAAGGTCCACAGACAATGGAGAACTCCTTCCCATATTACCACCTTCCAGAGCCCTCCCTCCCACTCACAGCCACCTCCCGCTTGTTTCAGAGGAGATCATCGGGGGCCACACAGCTCGGCCTCACACCCGGCCCTACATGGCCTTCATCAGGTTTCTGACTGGGAACAACCAAAAGAGATGCGGCGGCACGCTCGTGAGGAGGGACTACGTGCTGACAGCTGCTCACTGCAAGGGAAGGTGAGGGGTCCAGACAACCTGACCCCCTGAGGCCCCCTCACCCACCCACAGGGACCCCATCCTCTCCCCCAGGGACTGTGGCCCAGGGGAGCTCAGGCTCCTGGTCAGTTAAGCCCAGAACATTAGAGAAGCTCTCTGAAAACGGGCCAGGGGCCAGGAAAGTTGAAGTGAAGGCTCAGAGGTGAGAGAGCTATTGAGAAGAGAGACCCACTGTGTGTTAGGGGGAGCGCAGTAGGGGTCTAATGTGACCCCAGAGTCCTTTCCCTTTATACCAGTGACTGGGGAAGCTTCTTCCGGTCCTGAGGAACAGAGGGTGGAGTCCCTCAATCCAGACATCTATGGCCCCTTTCCCCTCAGCAGCTGCATACCCTTGCCCCTTCTGCCTTCAAACCCCCTAGACTGTACCTCTCAGGCCCCGCCACACAGACCCCCACTCTGTTCTCTGTGCAGTGCTATGACTGTGATCCTGGGTGCCCAGAACATCAATAAAAAGGAGCAGTACCAGCAGGTGATCCACGTAGGAAAAGCCATCCCCCACCCCGACTATGATCCTAGCAACTTGGCCAATGACATCATGTTGCTGAAGGTAAAGAAGTGAGTGGTTGCTCTGCTGAAGGTAAGGAAGTGGTGGTTGCTTTGCTCACCCGGATCCTCTCAGAGCTTCTTTTACCTTCCCTGCCCCCATCACAACCTCCAAACAGTCTCCGGAGCTCCATGGGAAGGAAGACAGGGCATGGGTGTCCAGGCCAGGGGCACAGGCTGATGGGACCCTCTCTTGCCTCCCCACAGCTGAAGAGAAAGGCCAATCTGACTAAGGCCGTGAAGCCCCTCAGCCTGCCTGGGCTCAGGAGCAGGCTGCGGCCAGGCCAGGTGTGCAGTGCAGCTGGCTGGGGAAAGTTGGGGATGGGGAAATCATTCCCTGATGAGCTGCAGGAAGTGGAGCTGACAGTGCAAGCAGATAAGACGTGTGAATCCCTCTTCAGCGCCTACTATAGAAGAGCCACCCAGATCTGCATGGGAGACCCCCACCAGAGGAGGAATGGATTCAGGGTCAGCATCCCAGCATCTCCCCTGACCAGCCCTACAGAGGAACTGGGGGAGGTCTGGGAGTGCCTGTATCTTAATGCCTCTGCCTACTGAACTCTAGGAGACTGTGTCCACAAACTCCATCTTTCCCCTCCACAGATGGGGGCTTGGGGAGGATCAGTCACCCCTCAGCAGGAGAGAGGGTTGGCCACTGTGGTGGGGGCTGGAAAGGACAGAGCCCTGGTGAGGAGCCCCAACTGAGGGGCTGGGAAGGGGACTGATCTCACCAACAGCCCCTCTGGGGCTCTCTCACTCCCCTGAGCAGGACCACCCAGAGGCCAACTCAGTCACTCTTCTCTGCCTACAGGGGGATTCTGGGGGTCCCCTCGTGTGTCTCAACGAGTTCCAAGGTGTCTTCTCCTCCACAAAAAAGAATGGGACACCCCCAGGAGTCTTTACCAAGGTCCTGTCCTTCCTGCCTTGGATAAAGAGAACCATGAAGCACACTCTGCTGGGACACTGACCTCAGTCCTGGGGCAGAAACAGGATTCCCTGGGGCAGGCAGCAGGACAACTCAGGAAGCTAATAAACGCATTTGGAAGGGACTGTGGCAGAACTATAATTTGCCTTTGCAGCTGCTTTCAAGGGTCCAGCCTCTGCTCTGGACAGCCCTCTGCTGTAAGTTCTGGGGTTTCTTTCCCTGCACCCTCCTGAAACACCTTTGGGGGTTCCTCACCCATTTCTTCATTACATCTCTTTGGGGCTTAACTTTCTGCAAACCTTCTTTCCCTAAATGATCCTCTCTCATCAGTACTGTCAAAATTGACAATCTTTTCCAAAGCCCTATACAGATTTCATGCAGTCCCTATAGAAAAACCCAGACTTTTTTTAAGACGTAGAGCCAATGCTGTTGAATTTTATACAGACTAATAAAACTCCCAGAATAGCCAAAGCATCCTAGGGAAAAATTATATGGGAGAGTCCTTCTTTCCCAGTTTTTTTCAACTTGGGAGCCACACATCTGGCTGTGTTCAGGGCTTACTTCTGGCTCTGCGCTTAGGAATCACTCCTGATAGTGCTCAGGGGACCATATGTGATGCCAGAGATCAAACTCAGGTAGGTCACATGAAGACAAGCACCATACCCAATGTACCATTTCTCCAGCTGACCCTTCCCCAAATTTTTTTTGCTTTTTTGGGTCACACCCGGCGATGCACAGGGTTTACTCCTGGCTTTGCACTCAGGAATTACTCCTGGTGGTGCTTGGGGGACCATATGGGATGTTGGGAATCGAACCCAGGTCAGCCACACTGACCTACCCACTATACTATACAGCCCTTTCCCCAATTTTAAATGCAAAAAAAAAAAACCCTTCAGACCCCTTTCTAACACCATGCACAAAATTCAAACCAAAATGGACTAAAGGCCTTAATATCAGATCTGAATCCATAAATTGCATTGAGGAAAACATTCGGAGAACGCTTCATGACCCAGAAGCTAGAGGCATCTTCAGTGATTCGTTGCCACTGGCAAAGCAAACAGAAGCAAAGATAAACCAACGGTGACGTCAGCCTAAGACGCCCCTGCACTGCCCTAGTTTCCACCTGAATGCCCCGGCGCCCAGCAACTTTCTCCCCCAGCCCACCCTGTTTCCAGCCTGCCTTCCTCTCTCACTCCTAACGGTTTCCAATACCCCCATGTATTCTCCTCTGTTGCTGAGCTACCAGTCACCGACCCCCCCCCCCCCCCCGCCCCGACTCTTGTCAGAGGATCGAGTACCCACACCCAGCGCGGGCAGCACCTCACGGTCCAACGTGCCCCGTAGGCTCCTCCCCCTCTGCTGTCAGTCACTCCTGGCTTAGCCCCACAGCATTGGCCCCTGACTCCCCCTGCTGGCAGCCTGGAATATGGCAACGTGTGAGCCAGAGGTCAGGGAGACTGAGAAAGACCTTTCCAAGGTCGGTCCACAGATTAAATGTTAGGCCTATTTCTTTGTGCCAGACATATGGCCATAAAGGCTCTGACCTTGTTACTAGGAAACTTATAATAGTGAGAAATTTTCTCTAAGTTCCCTTCTTCCAGGCTGAAGAGAAGTACAGGGTTTAAGGTATTTACCTTGCATGCTTCTAACTCTAGTTCAATGCCCAGCACCTCATATGGTCCCCTGAGTACAACCAGGAGTGATACCGAGTACAGAACCAGGAATGACCCTGAGTACTTCCCAAAAGTAAAAACAACAACAACAACAAAAAAACAGACAAATAAATTACTAGTTCCCCTCCTGCTACCAGGCAGGCTGGTTACGCATATTTGGGATCAAGTTTGGAATCAAAAAGAAATCTTGTTCTGAAAATGATTAAGAATTATTTGGGGGTATGGTGCCACCACGCCAGCAGGTCAATCTGTACCTGTGAGGCAAGTGCATCAGCAGCCTGGTGGTGCCTTCAGACTTCCAAAATTGCTGCTGTGCCTTTGGCCAGACCCCAAAAACTTGAGGCAAAGTTTACCAAGAAAGTAAATCGCCAAAAGTTAGGTATGTGGGAGACACACCCACAAACCACCTCCGACTCAGCTATATAACTGGAGGCATGGCTTATCTTGTTCCTGATCAAACTGCTTTACAGCCATGATCCCAGAGACTCAGAAACAAATCTCGAAACCCAATAGCTTTTGGCAGAAATGCATCCAGTCCCTGCAGTAAGTTACAGGCGCTGGGCCACCCCAGGTGGGAATAAGTTTCGTGCATTGGTCTGATCCCCAGAGGCCACTGGACAGTTTGGGCCCGCAGCGATGAGACACACGGGGCCTCATGGGATGGGGGTGGGGCCAGCCCTTTCCTTCTGGTCCCAAAAAGATCTTGAATCGCTGCCCGCGAACGGCCTCTCTGTCTCCTGATCACACTGCTTAACGGCCATGATCCCAGAGACTCAGAAATGAATCTTGAAACCCAATGGCTTTTGGCAGAAATGCGTCCAGACCCCGCAGTAGATTACTGTCGCTAGACCACCCCAGGGGAGAAAGGGTGCTGTTCCTCCGCCTGCTCTCCCTTGGTGGCTCAGTAGCCTCCATCTGCCAGAGGCCATTGGACAGTCGGGTTTGGGCCCGCAGTGACGAGACACATGGGGCCTCACGGGATGGGGGTGGAGCCGGCCCTTTCCTCTTCATCCCAACGAGATCCTGAGTCGCCGCCCATGAATGGCCTCTCTGACTCCTGATAAAGCCATTTAATGGCCATGACTCCAGAGACTCAGAAACAAATCACACAACCCAGCGGCTTTTGGCAGAAATGCATCCAGTCCCTGCAGTAGGTTACCGGTGCTGGGCCACCCCAAATGGGAATAGGTTTTGTGCCTTGGCCTGTTCCCCCTGGAAGCCCAATGGCCACCATCCTCCAGAGACCACTGGACAGTCGGGTTTGGGCCTGCAGTGACAAGAAATGCAGGGCCTCACAGGATGGGGGTAAAGCCGGCCCTTTCCTCCCTGTCTCAATGAGACCCTGAGTCGCCGCCCACAAACAACCTCTCTGGCTTCTGATCAAGCTGCTTAACGGCCATGATCCCAGAGACTCAGAAACAAATCTTGGAACCCAGTGGCTTTTAGCAGAAATGCATCTGGACCGCGCAGTAGGTTACTGTCACCAGGCCATTCCAGGGGGGAAAGGATGCTGTCCCTCCGCCTGCTCCCCCTTGGCGGCTCAGTGGTCGCCATCCTCCAGAGGCCATTGAACAGTCAGGTTTGGGCCCTCAGTGATGAGACACATGGGGCCTCACGGGATGGGGGTGGAGCCAGCCCTTTCCTCCCCGTCCCAACAAGATCCAACTTGCTGCCCACGAACGGCCTTTCTGGCTCCTGATCAAATTGTTTCAAGGCCATGATCCAAGAGACTCAGGAACAAATCTTGGAACCCAGCAGGTTTTGGTAGAAATCCCTCCAGATTTAATTGTTAAAATTTTGAAATTTCAAAATCACGTAGTCACTACTGCAGCCACACGACATCATATATTATTCATAACCAGCAATAGAAAGCAAATTGTCTACTATTGCCTTTTCAGCAGATCTGAGTGTTGGGGTAAAATCCCAAATAATAATGGTGGGTCTGGTGTCAAAATATTGAATGTAATCAAAGTAGAGAGAGAGTAATGTGGAAATCATCTGCCCCACAGGTAGGGGAAGGGTGTGGGATGGGGGTATACTGGGATTTTTGGGGGTGGAGAATGGGCACTGGTGAAGGTACAGGTGTTTCATTGTATGACCGAGACTTAAACCCGAAAGCTTTGTAACTGCTCTCACGGTGATTCAGGAAATAAAATTATAAAAAATAGGGGAAAAAATTAAGGTGGAGTTCATACCCAATTCAATCAGCTAATCAGTGGCTGAATAAATAGCAGTACTCCTACATTAAAAAAAAAAAGAGTTCTTGGGGTTGGAGCTGTAGTACAGTGAAAAGGGTATGTGCCTTACACAAAACTGACCCAGATTCAATCCCAGGCATCCCATATGGTCTCTCAAGACCCCTCAGAAGGAATCCCTGAGAGCAGAGTTAAAGACAAAAGTATAAGCCCTGAGCATTGCCAGATGTGGCCCAAAAACTAAAAAAAAAAAAAGCAGTTTACTGAAAATGATTAAACATTCTGCACCTTATTCACTTTGAACATTGCACCCACATGCATGCTCTTGTTTGATTCCAGAGGGACAGAATGTTAAGATGGGAGAGACAGACCCTCAGGTTTTGTAGTTTCCAATTTATTCCCAGGAGAGAGGATATCTGAGGTAGGGAGCAGACACCAGGGCAGGCTGTTTTGGGAAGGCTGGGGCTCAGGCCACCAACCCATGAAGTGCCACATTTCAAGTGAAAGACAGTCCTTTGGACTTAGACAGCTTTTCTTTAGGATCTTGTGTCCGTTAGACCACCACATACCCCTGCACCTCCCACCCCCCCATGAGTTAAATATGACACAACACATTTCTGAGGGTGGAAAAGCCCTTAGTTGAGCAGTAAACACCAAAAAAGAGAGACTCTTTACTAGAAAGACAAAGTCCATGAATATGTAAAGCAAGATCACACTTTAAAGTGAGGAATAAATCAGGGACCAGTGAGATAGTACAACAAGGAGGGCACATGCCTTGCACAAGGCCAACCTAGGTTCAATCCCTGGCATTTCATATGGTCCCTGAGCCTCAGCAGGCGTGATCTCTGAGCACAGAACCAGGAGTCAACCCTGACTACAGTTATCTGTGGCCATAGAGAGAGAGAAAGAAATAGAGAAAGAGAGACAGAGACAGAGACAGAGACAGAGAGAGAAACACAAGCCCTAAAGAGGGCTCCATGGCTTAAGGTAATTAACTGGTAAGCACAGATCATGAATTCAAATCCCCATGCAGCCTTGGCACTAAAGCAATCCTGAAGAATCCAGAAGATGTTCAACAACTTAGAAAGCACAAAGGGCAGTTATGAGGTCCTGAGCATAACCCCATGTACGTTGCACTCACCAAGATGGTTTGGGCTTCTTGTCAGAGGAAGAA